ATACATACGAATACCGTTTAAATTATTTTTTTTATATAATTCTGACTCAATGGATTCAAAAAATGTGGTGTCGGCACCGATGCGGTCGGGACATTTGCGGTCGGCACCTTTTGCGTGCCATTTGCGGTCAATTTATTTTTATCTACCTGTCTATAAGATTTGGGTGCTATATATAATATTTTATATACTATATATACTTAATTTATGTTAATAGGTATAATATTATAATACTTTTTTACTCTAATTGATATAATTATATACTTGTCAATAAAAATTCACTGTACGTACATAAAAAACATACCCTAATTTTTTTTAAAACCTTATTATAATTATTATTAAAAAATGATGTAATTATCGATAAGGCGATAACGTTTACGTATATTTTATTTTATTTTTAACATTTTTAACATCGTCAGCATTAAAGGTTGTAGTAAACAATTTTACCAAATTTACACTATACATATAGATCTATACATATAGATACATATACATATATATAATATATATATACTATACATATAGGCCTACGAACGAAGAAATAAATATTATAATACCTGTGATATATATATTACTTCCGAATAAAACAAAAATGGTTTACCAACGTTTATTTTTGATAATTCGATGGTTAAACACATATTCCAAATTTTAATCCTGAATCTTTTACATTAGACTTTGAAATCTCGACCATTCAATCAATTACACAAATATTTCCTAGTGCTAAAATACACGGTTGCAACTTTCATTTTGTTGAGGGTTGGAATAGTAAACTTAATAAAATATCAAATACACCGAGACCAACGTTTATGAACTTATATAGCTGTCTTAAAAAAGAGACTGAAAATGCGGAACTTTTATATGAAAGAAGCTTCTTGACTATGGAAGGCAAAAGGAGAAAAAAATGTACATACAATTAGACGAAAGAATTAGAAAAATATTAGTAGTCTATGAATTAGATAAGGGTTTAGAAAAATGCTTAAAAAAAGTGTGACGAGAAGTTTAAATATAATATATTTGACAAGTATATAACTATATCGATTATAGTAAAAAAGTATTATAATATTATACCTATTAACATAAATTAAGTAAATAGTATATAAAATATTATATATAGCACCCAAATCTTATAGTCAGGTAGATAAAAATAAATTGACCGCAAATGGCACGCAAAAGGTGCTGACCGCAAATGTGCCGACCGCAAATGTCCCGGAACCAAAAAATGTCTACATAATTAATTCAAATATATTTCCAAAGTTATTATCAGGGTAAAACTCAAATCAGTACGTGCTAAGTTCAGGATGGAACAGCTTATAATAAATAATAGAAAACTATTAAGAATTAATTATAACATAATAAATAATTTATTATTTTAATGCATCATAGACATACATTTGTCTAGCCCGAATGCTTAAAGACGAATGTATTATATATTTATCTGTGTGTGTATGCACTATACAAAAGTGCGCAATACTATATATATGGCGATTTTTACTTTGCTAGAAAAAAAATTTGGAAAATGTTACTTTTTTTCGAACTTAGGTGTTGGTGACATACCGCTGTCGCTGGCTATGTCAATACAAATTTTACTTTTTATGAATTTTGTGCTAAAATGATTTCCGAGCGAACGTCATGACCAAGCTAGATAGTTTACGGCACCGTCTAGAAACAATTTTGCCAAAAAAAAATTTTCAAAAATATTCGTTCTACTTAGGAGTTAGGAATGGGATTGGAAACAGTTTTTGAAACAACGTTTACGTTACTTTTGTCAATGTTATTCTTAACTGAAAAATAATTTGCACAATTACGTGATTTTGATGAATTCCATGGAAATTCTAACTTCAACTAATCATAAAAATTTAGTGTGGATCTAAGCTCACTTTTTTTTTAACATTATTTAAACAGTTTATAAGGAATCACAATTTTATAATGTTTTTGATCGAGCGAAAAAATATTCATTCAATGTACCTAATTGAAAAATTTACCATTTAGTTTTGTTTTGTTTTCAATTATGTTATACTAATTAGTTTATTAGTCATAGTATAATAAATATTCACCGAATATCCAACCACCCACCCACCAAATTGTGTATGTGTTGCTGAAGCAACGCATGGACTATAGGATCGCCGCCAGTGCTTTACGTGTACGTTTAAAGTTCTTTATTCTTATAAATCGAGGTTTGGTTTCTGTTATCATCTGTTGTAACACGTCTATAGACTATAACAATCAAATAACAACGATAATATGCGTACCTATTATCTGGATAAACGGGAAATGTTTAATATAGCAATCTGTGGAGTGTGGATAATCCTAAATGTTTTATTTATTATATTAATTTTTAATATTTTATAATATTGATTATATGTGATTAACTGGTGTGATTCAAAACGATAATATTATGATATTACTATATTAGATAAATATGTGAGTCTTTGATAAATATCAGTGTGTGTGTGGTATTGATCGGTATAATTTTGGGAAAACTATGCGGAGTTGATGTATATAAAAGTGTACGGTTTTGAAAGAAGAAATTTTTTTTAATATGTGCGGTTCTAACGACCGCCGATACACATTTTCAACTAAAAAATCATTTTTACATTTTAAAAAAATGAAAAGAATTACATAATGTATGGATGTCAAATTGGAGTGGTAATTTCATATCCATTTCAAGAAATATTCTCGTATTTCACAAAGTGTGATAAAGACGTATCATATTTTAATTTCACGATAATATTTTTATATTATTCAAAATCGAGGAAATACACTGTCGATGTCTCCTAGTTGTGCAGAAGAGCATTGATTAATTTAAATCGATTCATTTTTGGCCACTTGATTAAATAAATGTTCTCTTGACTGACCCTTTGGAGGGTTAAATGAACAATCGAATATTAAACTGATATGCGGCTATTTAGTTGTGAGTGTCGTATTGTCGTATAATATAGCATGTTTAAAGAAAATATCATATTTAGTACATTTACACTTTTATAACATTACCCAAACCATTGGAGCAATCTTAAATAACTCGGGAAATGTCTATAATATTTTCCTGTCGTTGTCGTTGGTAATTTACTCAACAAACTATATAGGACATAGGTAATGTAATATCCTAAGTAATTATTATGGATGGTGCGGCAGCGAGATAACGAACCTGAGTCTTGCGCCGATAAAGTTGTCCCGCACCTGGGCGAGGATATAACAAACCACGTAAATATATTATAGAGGTACCTACTAAGTACTGAGTACTTACTACTGTATAATTTATCCTCTATGGCATTTGTATGAGGTTCCCACTTAGTCACGATGATTTCTTTTAAAAGTGTCAAGTACCAACGAATAATATTTTTGAATAAGAAAATGACTACAATTGTTATTCTTCGTTTAATATCACACATACATTTGGTTTTAAAATGTAGTTGCTATATTCCAGACCAAAAGGATAAAAAAAAAAAAATAATAATAATGTATATTGTAAATATTATGTAGGTAAATATCTATCGTTTAAATGTCACACATACATTTGGATTTAAGATAAAGTTACTAGTTTTTTTATTCCAGACCATAAGCGAGATAATTTGATTCACATATACTTGTACCTGAACGACCGAGTAACCAATGGCTAAGTTAACTATTTTTTTTAACTCGTTAAGTTAAGTTAAAAGTTAACTTTATTTTTTATTAGTTTGTAAAAGTTACAAGTTAATTAGAAAATAAAAGTAACTTAACTTAGTTAAAAATAAGTTACTTTTTTTTTCAAATAAAGTTAATTATTATACCTGCCTACCTTTTTTAAAGCTAACATAAAATATAATAATAAGTAATAATATTAATAGTGGTACGCAGGTATAGGTTAGGTTATTCGTATGTCGTGTATGTGATAGGTACTGAGTATAAATTGTTATATTTTTCTTTATTAATGACGCGGTAACCCCTATAATATTTTCGTCTATAATAAATTTATATAATATTTTCTGTGAATATTCAATATAATAACTTACATTTATTATAACTTATTATTTACTAAAGTATATTTTATGCTTGGGATTTTTTTTTATATAATTTATTTCACAAAATTGAATTTATTTTAAATGTGTGGTTTGGGAAAAAATTTACATAACGTGCCAATAAAATTAATTAACTCGTTATATTACTGAATAACATGGTGAAAAATGTAACTCGTTAAGTAAGAAGTTCCTTCTTAAAATGTCGAAATAAAAAATTTTCTGTTTTATACAACAACAATTTTTTTTTGGCAGGTGGGTGTAAATTTCAAAAAAACTTAAAAATGTTATATTCTTTTCAACAGTGTACTCGAATTTTTCGTTAAACCTTACTGAAGGGCCGATATTCCACCTAATGTGTGGAAAAACCGGGAAAAACGTAAACAAATTCTAAGCAATAAATACAAAACTTGGTAAACTGATTTTTTTAAAATTAAGAAAATATTAATTCGACTTACAAGCTATAATAAAATATAATAACAATATAAAATATCCAGACTCACAAACCGTCTTCGCTCAGAATTTTTCGTATACAATGATATTAAATAATTGAATTCAAACTTGTCACCGTCCATAATAGTGAGTAGTTACCCACTTGTAACCTACTGTACAGCAGTTGTACAGGTTTTGTATAATTTAATTATACATAATAATATAATAAAAACATTTTACATTGTGCGATATGTAGGTATAGCTTATATAATTTTCTATACACTATAAATATGATACCCGATTTTTTATTATACACATAGTTGACATTTTAACAAGTTGAAATCATTGACCAAATGCAACCACAAATTATAAATTTAATGTTATAAAATATTATTACACAATATAAACGTTTATTACATAATTATGTGTACCTATATGTACCTAATACCTATAGATTTATAAAAAAACAAGATGTTTAAAAATTCTTAGGTATGGAATATAATAATATCATATACAATATAATAGGTAATTAATAAATTAATCGTCGTATAATATACATTATATCTGAATACGAAACTAATGACATTCGTCACGAACCAACAACATATTTTCAGGTTGGCCATTGTCTTCGTAGTCATTGGGATTTTGTTCGTCCAGCGGTCGCATTTCTGCGAGATGCTGGCGACCATGTAAATGCAATAGGTCATAGTCCTTGGTGGCCTTAAAAAATATGAGGGCCACACATAAAACCGTAATGAAAGAAACGTACGCGCCTATAGTGACGACACTCGGCCATAAAATCCGGGCCAATGAACTTTTGAGATGACTGTAATTTTGTTTCGACAACTTTACGACGTTCAGATGGCCGCCTAGCGTGACATTGAGCTGTTTCGGCAGGGAGCCTAACTGAGATGACGATGACTGCAACACCTTACAAATGATCTGCTTGCTGTCCAACGAAGTGATCTGGCAACGAGAGGAAGAGTTTTCGCCTACCAGTATAATGGACAAGTCCTCAGCGGTGAAACCTTTGTCCAGGTACAGACCATTTACGGTAACGTTGCAGCAACCGACAACCACGAAGTCCGTGAAATCCGGATAGTGATATCGATGGTACATTAAACCCGGTAACGTGAGGTTATACTCTTCTCCGATAGAGTTTTCATCGAAAAACATCAAATATTCAATTTTAGATGCATCTTCCAGATCGATTTTGATGTTAGGAGTCCGGCAAACCATATGTGTGTCGTTACGGACATCACAGTTGCCGCACCAGTATCTATGTTTGACACAAAACCTCACTTTCCGCAAGTCGGAAAAATGTTGACCATGCACCCATAAAGTGGTGTTACCGGACTCGATACCGCCAAACACTTGGCCGTCGTCTAATATCGGATGGAACGGAGAACTGTTGTTGCCCGATTGACTGCTGTCGGACGAGGGAGGCTCTTGTGATGGAAGTATAATTTTCGGAGTTACAGAATAATTAATTACACTTGGACCTTTGCTAGAACACCTTTCATTATTTCGGATGTCATTGGTGGTACTCAAATACAAGAGACTCGAAATATTTCGTAAGTCACAGTATGGTATTATGTCCTTGGTGTTCTTCATTGAACACATACTACAATAAAACCTGTGCGTGCCGTTGTTCCAGTGACAATCCGGGCACTGCATTTTTGGGCAATCACCACCCCCCGGGTACGTGGTCAAATAGTGGTTGCTGACGTTGTCGAATCGCAACAACTTGCCATCGAATACGATCGATAAATGACTGAAGTGCGGTATTAACTCCTGGCACCTGGTTTTGTACGTCGATGTTCGCTTCAATTCCCAGGAACAGGAGATTCGGTTGCCGTCTACCTTGGCCTTGTAGGTCTTATTGCCCGAGTGACACTCGACGCTGCTGTTGGCTAACAAATGGACAAAACCGCCACCCATATCCGGGTCTTCAACTATAACTGTAGCCGTTATACTCTGTTTGCCATCCAATACGTTGACAATATTGTTGACCGAAAACTTTGGACAGGACGACCCGTTGGTGACCACCATCCGGTTTTGTACTTTCACCGCCGTATTGTCTACGCACATTTGTTCGGAAACCAACCAGCTACACAGTGGCATCGTTGCTTCTGTACACGACGAGCACGTCCATCGCTCTTTACACATAGTTCCGTTTGTGGTCGTTATTCTGTTAGTGGTTGTAGTTCCCAACAAATCAGTTTCTCCGAGAACCTCGTGCATCTGAAACTGCAATATTAAATATAATGTAACTTATGATGGGTAATATCGTACATGGTGTAATGTATACAGGGTGTATCTTATGTCATTGTACGCGGGGTTTTTTGACGATTACAGAACGATGATATGGAATTTCGTTAAAACGAAAAAAGACGTGTTTCTTTATTTTTAACAAGCAATTTTTTTATAACAATTTCAAAATTTTTAAACACGCAGGTGTACCAATAGCAAAATCAACTTTTGTTTTTCAAATGGTAACCACTATATTTTTTAATGGATTCTGGTAAAGCTTTTTTTTCTGAACATTTTGGTAGTCGAATCGTCACGTAGGAAAATTCATCCCTTTCGATCCTTTTTAGTTTTGGATATTATAATAATATTGATTTTTATGATTGTATGTTAAAATAAAAATAATGAAGTATGTTTACAAACAATTATGCTTGTTATTTTTTTTTTTTTTTTTGAGGGTGTCATTAGGTTACCGATTCAACTATTGTAGTGTATCAAATGGTAGTTATAAGAAAAAATTGTTTAGCGCTTGTAAATTAAACCTATACCCATTATTTTAATTAAAAGTATTAATGCATATTTTACTTATCTTTGGAGGACCATAGTTAATAAACTAGCGAACCAAAATTGACGATTCGACTACCAAAATGTTCAGAAAAAAAAGCTTTACCAGAATCCATTAAAAAATATAGTGGTTACCATTTGAAAAACAAAAGTTGAATTTGCTATTGGTACACCTGCGTGTTTAAAAATTTTGAAATTGTTATAAAAAAATTGCTTGTTAAAAATAAAGAAACACGTCTTTTTTCGTTTTAACGAAATTCCATATCATCGTTCTGTAATCGTCAAAAAACCCCGCGTACAATGACATAAGATACACCCTGTATAATGCAATATATAATATAATATATATATTATATTTATTATGCTATACGATATTATCGTCCGACCCAGTAATATGTTTTATCGACTGTAGATATTATTAATTATATTGTTATTTTTATTTGCGGATAAATGACCTAATCGGGGTAGGTTCAGGATTTTTATTTGCGGATAAATGACCTAATCGGGGTAGGTTCAGGTTTATACTATATAATATTATAATTGTACCTACTACCTACCTATATCAATGTAATAAGCATTTTTGTAGGTACTATCACGCAACACAGTATAATAGTTGCACTTTGTACTAGATGTCTGATCCGATGTCTAGATTGTAATGCAATATTGAATATAATACAACTTAAGGACAATTTATTATACACGGTATTATCGTCCGATCGAGTAATATGTAGTAGTAAATGTGGGAATTATTAATTATATTGTAATTTTGGTACAACAGTGGATAAATATAAGTGCAGTAGCAGCCAGCAGGTTAAGGTATATAATGTTATATCAATATAATAAGCACCTTTATAAATACTACTTCTTATGCATCACAGCATAATAGTTGCCCTACCTAGTTGCATGTTACTTAGAGGTGTGAGCTTTATATACTAAAATGATGTTTAGTTAGTATTTAAAAAAATATTATGTATACATACTATGATGATTAGGAATAGAAATTGATTCACTGATAAACTCTTCCAGTTATGCCAAAATTTAAAACTTCTGCTGAGAAACATGTCCCTTGAGCAATGTGCGTTTTTCTGAAAATATCCAATCATATAAATTATAATATTCCATGCAATTTTAGATTACAGTAAATATAAATTATACAAAAATGCAACAAATTATAAAGTAGGTAAATACTTTTTTATAATGTACCAATGTTGTTTTCATTTTAATTTCCGAGTTCATGCAAATGTTGGTTTCATTATAAAAATACCTTGAGTAATGTATAACAACAAAAAGACTACATAATAATTTATTGTATAGTTAACTTGTTTTAATTTATATTTGTAATATTGAATTTCATACAAATTGACTACACTAAATTAATTAGTTAATTAATAACCGTTGTCAGTTTTTAAGGAAAAAAATACAATCATTTTTAGGATCTACATTAAAAAAAACTTTGAGAAAGTCGGATAAAACATCTTTTATGAAACGGTTCCTTGGTCTTTATAATATGGACACATAGGTATGTGTTGGTTTTTTTACTCAGTAGGCATACCTATATATAGTGTAGGTATACTCAGTGGCGTCCGCAGGGGGGGGGGGGGCTAACGGGCTGAAGCCCCCCCCATTGTCCGTATTATTATTACTTTAAAAAAAATATATTAATCAAGTTTAAACTGTCAACTATAGTAAGCAAGACGTAAATTTCATATATGACTTACCAGAATGAATTCATTTTTGAAAAAACATTGTATTTGCATACCAATTTTCATAAATTATCTGTAATTTTTCGGTAAAACAACGAACTACTTGTACGAAAGACCTTGTATTAAATTGTCTAGCCTTAGCTGTACATATTTTATATTTTATAAGTTTTCATGAACTACAAATTAACTGTGGTTAAATTGTTTTGAACTTTAAATGCATATGTATCGTTAATATTTTGGGTATAATAAAAAAACTTACGTATTACATTTTTAAGCTTTTTGACCGGATAAATAATTTTTTATTGACATTTATAAAAAAAAAATTTAATTAATCGAATACAATCCAAGTGAGGACGGTATAACCAAGCAGGGGCGTATATAGGATTTTCTTGAGGAGGGGGATATCAAAATTTGTTTAGTGCTGTTGCAACTTTTTGTTAGTTATTCCATGTAAGGTATATAATAATAATAAATGTTGTGTAATGTCACTCACATGCCCACAGGATAACTAAATTATAAATAACAACAGTACTGCAGCAGTTTGTATTTTATACATGGAAAAAAATGGGTAAGGGAGGGGATCTATCCCCCATATCCCCCCCATAAATACGTCACTGTTAAACCAAGCTACTGTTACCAAACAATTTAAATAAGTTTTCATTTTTTTTTCTCCAATTAGGTACTTTTAAAAGCACTGAGCAGATTCAATTTCGACCTCCTAAAAGTACCATCGAAGCTTATGATAAGAGCATATTTTCTACTAGAAAAGTTACTAACATTTTAACATATCTCAAATAAACGTCTGAAATTATTAGACTGGACAAAATAAAAATAAATTTGTAACTAATTTTCAAGCCCCCCCCCCCCCCATTGAAAAATCCTGCGGATGCCACTGGGTATACTATATAATGTAAATTATTACTCAGAACTTTTACTATACTGATGTTCAGTATCGGATTTTAGGCTAGGTCTAGGGTGGCACAATTCGAAGAGCCACAAATTTGTTGTACAAAACAAAAAATAAATTTATTTTATTTTTTAAAATTTTTTGTGGATCACGTATTCACTTATTACAAAATGTTCCGGTTTTGGCCTTTCGAGTACCTATATATTTTTTTATCCATGTTTATTCATATTCACTATACTAATAATATTATAAATGGATCACGGTTATATACACCGTAGATAACCGTGATGTGGATACACAAATGTACAATATACATATTGTGAGCATTGTTGCTGCTCTGTAGCCTTTGTGGCACTTGTTATTTCTTATTATCATATAATATTTGAAATATTACACACTAATTAAATAATTCAAACATGCCTTTTTTCATGTTTGGAAAGGATAGGATGGATGAGCGGCCAATTATATCGGGGCCAATAGTGGCACTTGTTCTCAACCCGGCCCTGCTAATATATATATACAATATACATAGTATACATATATAATAAACTCGATCTTCGGCTTGTGAAAAAGTATTATCACAAGTTGTTTATAGCTCGATGAGCTTTTGACCGAAGAAATAGTTTATAATTTTTCAAAGATAGTAAATTGAGACGTTTTGGTTATAAGTTGTATATTGATGTAATTTTTTATCTTTGTTATTCAGTGCAAGTTTAGTTACATTAGTACAATATAGTTATTAGTTAGGTATATTTCGTATTTATATTTTTAAAATATTTTAACGATTTATTTGATTAATAACTAGTTGGATCTCGGAGATGATCTAATTAAAAATATGTTTTTGTTCATAATATTCTTAACACGTATAATTGAGGTTTTTATGTTAGTATTTTTATTTATGAGGTTTTTGTATACATTATCGATTTAAAGTAGGACTATTTATATTTTACTTTTACAGTTTTTATAAAACAAATCAATATCAAATGTTAATTTATAATTCTTTTAGTTGTTTCTCTTTCTGCGATACTACAAAATTAGGACGTAGCCACGTAGGTATATGTATATTTACAAGGTAATTGTTATTTATTAAATACTATCAATTTATTACAAAATTATAGGCAGGCGAATCAACGATAAAATTGTTAATCTATATAGGTAGATAAATTAAAGAAATTAAAACAATTAAAAACCTAACCAGTGAAATCTCAAATTGTAATACACATTTGTAATTATAAATTCATGTAATAGCTGTAATTAAAAATAAATTGTTGTTGATATTTACGTTATGATATTATGTGTGTCGAATTCGGTAACTGATAGTTAATTAATAACTCAATTAATTTAAATTACTTTTCATGTCGCTGACCAAAAATAAAATATTAATTTATTAAATTTAAATGTCAACTAACTTAACAAAGTTACAAATTGAATTGATGAAAATATTATTTTGATATTTATATATTGCTAGTAATTTATTTTTATTATAAATAATTTGGTAATATAACGGTTATATATCCGGTATAAAAAGTCTGAAAATAATCTAAATACTTTGGAAATGTCATTGCGTATAGTTAAATATAAAAATATAGGTGCATCAAGATTCAAGTCCCACGAATAATATTTTGAAATTACAACAAAGTAGTATTTCTTCGTTTAAATATCTAATTTTGTCCAATTTTGAAATTAAAATGTCTATTAAAAAATTGCTGCATATTACATTTTTAGATCATTTAGTATCAGTATGAACTACATTTGAGGAACCTTGTATTACATTTTCAAACTTTTTCACCGAGCAAAAAATTTTTTATTAGTATTTGTATAAAAAAAATAAAATAATCTTTAAACAGGTAAAAAAAGAGTCCGAATACTTTGATAATTATAATTTATAGGTACTATGTATTGGAAATGCTACTAAATTCAAACATTTTGTGAATTTTTTATGGAAGTAATATTTTTGGACTTGTGATTTTTTATGTGAAAAGTGAAATCATCTTATACGGCGTTCAGGTTTTTCCGCTTGGGCAGTGAACATTTTCGAGAGTTATCTTTTTCCTGTAACGCTTGATACCTATTATATTGTTAAAAGAGAGGCGATTTTTATGACAGTTATATCTATTTTTTAGTTTAATTTGTTTGTCACTTATATATATATATATATGCGTGTAAATATGTACGTAGAGTACCTACCTATTATGTAAATATTTTATTCTATTAAAAATAATCTGTTTGTGTTCTGAAAGATAAAATTTGAACAAATATAATTCATAAAAATGTTCAATCCTTTCCTACAAATAATATGAAAGCACATGTTTTAAATTAAGAATATTTACTTCAAATTCAACATAATAAATCTATATTTCTAAGGTCACATATAATATGTTTTCACATCTTCGCCTGCAACACTTTTTGTTCTTTTTTTTTATAACATAAATCATCTATTCATACACTAAAAAAATCACATGCACATCATTGTAAAATCTGCATTACTACGCTCCGCTCAGAATCCAAAATACAAAATAAAACGTACCCAGTGGCGTGTTTACGATTTTGGCGCCCTGGGTACACACATTTTGGCACCTCTCTTTTTCTCAGTTTCCTTTTACCCATTGTCACAAAAAACTCTAATTTACAATTTACTTTTTCTCTCAGTTAATAGTGCAGGGCTTGAAACCGGTATAAACCGTTATAAAACCAAAACCGAAAACAAAATCAAATCCGAAACCGAAAAAAATTGGAAACCAGTATTAAATTTGATACTGACTCGAAAAAAATTAGATACCTGTATTATAATTAAAAACGAAAATATAATTTAAAAAACGGTATTTTTTTTGAAAATCTTTGTATAATATTGACATTTTGAAAAGTTTACTTTACACAATAGGCGATTGGACGCTCGATCCAGAGATGCAAAGAAATTAATAAACTAAGAATGAACGTAAATAGTACAGGTCTTGAAACCGATTTTTGAAACCGGTATAAACGGTTTGAAAACTGAAACCGATAACAAAATCCAAAACCAAAACCGAAAAAAATTGGAAACAGAAATTTTTCAATCGGTTTCAAGCCATGTAAAAGTGATAATTGATAACCCAAAATGTATATTTTCCCCTTATTGCATTTATGCTTCCACTAATTTAGAGAACATTTTTCTTTTACCATTAACACTCCGTTTATTCGTAATTAAATAAAGAAATTATAATTTTGATTTTAGCCTTTTTTTTAATAAACAAGCTAAGTACTACCGATGGGTGGTTTCTTATTCACGTAACCCCTTAATGTTTTTGTACCCCAATATCACATATACTTATTGTGCTTAGTTAAGTATAGATTGTATATTTCTTGTAAAAATAAAAAAAAAAAGCCTTTTTTTACGACAATTACATAAAATACATTATATGTATATATTACATAGAAATATGTATAGAAATGTAAAAGATATTATAAGAAAGATACAGCTACCTATTCACTTATCAGTTATCAATAATATACGTAATTTCTCAACAAATCTCCCCCCCCCTAAATACGCCACTGAACGTACCCTATTATAATATTATGATGTAATAAATTAATTACCTATAGTCAATAACAGATGGGTTGGTATTTTAAATTAACTTTTAGTTTCAATAATGTCATACAAATTCTTGTGCACTCCGGCCTCTCCAGTCTCCATCCTCCTCGTGTAGCCGTCCTATATACCTTGGATGGACCTCGCTTTACAACTTACAAACAACAAACGTGTAAGTACAATACGTACCGGTAGCATCTGTTGTTGCTTCAAACTCACTTGGTACACGCCGATTGTATTAGCACGTGCATGACCGGTCGCCGCACGACAACAACACGGTATTGAAGATGTCGGTAAATTATCGTCAAAAACGCGATCGGACCTTAGATACGTCTCCGGTGACATAATATTATTTCTATCGCCGCCAATGGGCGCAGGCCGCGGTGGTCAGCGGTACGACAGCACCGGAGTTTTCCGAGTGTCAAGAACGACGGCCCTCCATGACGAAGCGTAATAGATATCTGGACCTGGCTGGTAATTTGGGATTACAATTTTCACTTCGAAAAATTTTCAAACCGCGCTCAAAACGACTACAACTCAAAACGACATCATCATCAGGCGAATTAAACAGTATCTGTATTATTTATAAATGCATGCGTCGCGCTCGCCGATGTCGGAACAACAACAATAATAATATATAGGTATATTATGTATTTGTGTGCACTACGTATGACGTTATGTTGTATAATGACCTGTAACTATCATGCAAAGTATTTCACAGGAAATACTGACCTATAAAACGATTTTATTTTTTCTATTTAGGAAATTTCAAACGTATAAAAAATCATATTGTAATATAGATGCAAGAGCCAAGAACCTACCAATAATCTTTGTCAACCCTGCCCCCCCCCTGGTGTTACGAAAATACTTCGATGGAAAAAATAATTCGTTCGTCCCACGCGGACGTAGCTGGATTTCCCAAATACCTGAACACGCACAGAATGAGAGTATTTTTATTAATATAATTTTTATGATTATATAAAAATTATTTTATTAAAATGTATGTATTATATCTACACTATTTTTCTAAATTTATTTATTTCTCATTTATTAAATAAATTTAATATTATATTAAACATAATATTCCAAGATGCCTGAAAAATAGATTAATTTAATGGTTCAATACAACTTATAATGGACTAATCATGGGCCACTAAACGACTAAGCTATCTATTTAAGGGACTATTAGCTCATGATCATTCATTAAATGATTAAGTTTAAGTAGTGATTGTTCATGCTACCTTGCATAAGACCTATAAATAAACTTACTGTATTAGAGCTTTTAATTGCATAGAAATTATTTAGGTGGAAACTTCTCGTTAGTAATATCTCGTTTGATAGAAACATGTATTGGTGGTAAAGGGCCTACACTTTAGGTGGAAAAGGGTACGGGGTTTTAATGTTTTATCAATTCTACCTTTTTAATATCAATTCCGATGGATATTTGTTTATGTTAATTCCGCCGACTATCGATTCCGCCAGATAGTTGTTTATGTTTATTCCACCTACTGTTTATTAAACAATAACCAATGCATCATATTATAAAGATTTTTTTTTTTAATTAACAGTACACGCAGTTTACCATAATAGTGAATGTATTTTTTTTTTTTATTAAAACATTTCAAAAAACAGTTTAAACATTGTCGTCCACAACGGTCAATATAACCCAATTATACATTTATTAAATTTATAAAATAATATAACTGAAATACCTTGTGATTATCATTTTTACAAAACTAAGTAAAATTAACATTTTTTTTTTTATAGATTTATTATAAAAATAATAAAATATACAATGTAAAATTATGGGTACGGGTACCTATATTATCTATTTGTTATTTAAATTATTGTCATATAGTTACAGTAATTAATAGTGTGTACTAATGAAATAAAACATTTTTTTTGTATCATAAAATAGCATTAATATAATGTAAATGAAAGCCTTTCACATTTTGTTATTATTAAAATAAATAATTTTCAAATATTCGGCGGATTAATAGTCGGCGAAATCAATATCTAAAAAATTTCAGCGGATTCAATTGCCTGCGGAATCAAAAAGTAAAAAAGTTCGATGGAGTTGGTACGCTGCGCTATCAATAGATTTCTAACAGATAAAAAGATTTCAGCGCAATTGATATACTCGAGGGTATAGCCCAGTGGTCTATTATGCTATTCAAGATTTAACCTCTATTATAAATTTTAATATACATTTCAAAATATTATATGAACACATTAAACAATTAACTGTTATATACATATTATATAAAATATGAAATACACAAACACTTCCTTTTTAATATTCTAAAAATTATTCTATACCTTAATTTCAAAGACAGATAAAAAATATTTGATATTATTACCCAATTATTATTCATTAAGAGGGTATTGTAAATTTGAATGTGTCTTTTTATCACTGCAGTTCAAAAATTAACACATTTGTTATAATGACTGTACAAACAAAATTGTTTCATTGTATAAAATATAAATACATAATAAAACCGAGTGTGGGTCTCGGGACCTCCGACACAAGCGAAGCTTCAAAGATGTTGTTACTGAATTGGTTTTTATAGACACTCTTTAATTGTAAATAAGCTTAAATGAAAAATCTTATGGTGAATTACGGTCTCATGGACCCGTGTTCTGTGACGAATATTATTTTATAAATTAAAATAAAAGGGTTATTCTTAATGTAATGCAATAGGTATAAAATATGTTGCTAATTACCTTATGTTATAAACAAATTTGATTTCTTCAATTTATGAACTAGCATTCAAGTAACAAGAAGATTGTTTTTGTTATGAATCGAAACGCTGTAGACAAACGTGACGCATAGTAGACAATTGTAGTAGAAGAAATGACAGGATTTGTAATGAGCCGTAAAGACAAACTGATTTTATTACTGGAGTGATAGGATATAGACATTTTGACTCAATCGTTGACCCGGCGTCTTTTTTAATCAATTTTTTTTTTTAATTTTGATTATTTTAATGATATTACAATGTAATTAACGATTGGACCCATAAGCTACTTAATTATAACTAAATTATCAAAATTGTAATCAGTTATAATAATTATATCCTAATATATTTTAGTTATAACAGTCCTATTTAATTTTATCAAAATATACAAATTGTTTTATATAGGTTAACCTTATGAGTTATGATTGAATGACTATAGTAATTATTTTAATTTCGCATGCATAAGAACAATATATATGTGACGTTAACGTTGTAAGGCAGCATGATCATAATATTATAAATTATAATACATGGTAGTCTTAAGACGAATATGTGATACCTATCTATAAAGTCCAATATCCATGCATATATCATATACCAACGACTAGCTAATATATAATTAAATAATAAATATAGAGCTCAGCCGAAATAATATTATAATATATAGTCATTAAAATGGTTGGAACGGAGAGCATAATATCTGTCAGCGTATCTTTTACGATTTATTACAATCTAAGTACTTAAATAAAATGGAAGCACCGCGCCGTCGGGCCCGAACTAAATTAATATTTATGTTCGTCAATCTCATTATCATGTTTTCTGTTTGACTCATATTATTGCCTTTTTCGTATTTGTAAGTCACAGCGTTGAGTCACAGGCTGTATTATAGATATACAAATATTAAAATGGCATGAATAAAGAATAATATTATTATATTATCATATTCCGATTTTTGTTCATTAGGTGAACGCAATTTCGTCTTAAAATTGTTTTTATGCGTCGATTAGTTTGACGTCATTATGTCAACGAATATAATAATATATATTATAATTTAATATATAATATAAATACTAAATAATACGCAATATGTTTTGTATTACATTCTAGCCTGTATTCGGATGACAGACGACGGAGGCTTGATAACCGTTCGGCCACAATTACTATAAGTTTTTAAAATTTAAAACGGTCAGTGAAATAGTTTTTACGACAGTTTCCTATACGATGGTTGGAATTTTTGCTTGCATTGCATATTTGCATCATACAAATCAATGACACATTTACGAAGATTAACAGTCAGACAGTATATACTATTATACTATATTATCTAACATAAAATAAAAAATTTAATCCACACTACCCGATAGAATATACAAATAAACACAGGATAACACATATACAGTCAAATCTGTTTAAGGGTGTCGGTGCCAGCTTTTCTAATTTTCTGAAATTCTATACAATTTGAAAATTATATGTTATATTTTACTATTTTAGTTATAATAATTTTCCACTAATCTATAGAGCGATACCTATTTAGGCTGGGTCAATAGTCGATACGGTGTATTATATCAACGAAAATGACTTCACACTTTCACAGGAAAAACTCCCACTCCTGTAGAATAGTCGGATTTTGTAAATTAGTTTTTTATTTGAATGAAGAGAACATTTTTCAGGTTGGATCAAATTTTTTTCAAGAATTTTCATTTTTCTTTAAATAGTGGTAGAAAAATACGTTTAAATAATAACAAGTATTGTTCAAATGCATATTTTAGCTTCTATAATTATTATTTTAAAAATCGGACCTGCAAAATATTCTCTTCTTTTAAATAAAAAAAAAATTAACGCGATCTGACTATTCTACAGGGTGTGAGAGTTTTTCCTGTAAGATATGTTTTTGTACTAAAAAACTCACCGGCTCCGGCGCGCTCCTTAACAGGACTTTACACTCGAGTGTAGTCTCTGTCTCCACAAGCGCAAAAACATGGCAAAAACTGGTTTGCGAGGTAAAGAACCGAGAACGCTATACAGTCAAAACTAAGCAACGAAATTTTCATCACTTAAAGATGAAGAACTTTGGCTGTGCAATAATGTTATTATTTTTTGATATTACTTAAACGAAAAAAGTTCTTATTGTATCAAAATCTATTATTGTTTGTGTTTTTAGAACTTGAATAACTTTTTATGTGGTTCTGATAACGAAAAAATAAAAATGACATTGCACAGCCGAAGTTCTCCTTTTTATGTGGTGAAAATTTCATTTCTTAGTTATAGCTGTAGCCTTCTTGGTTTTTTCCCGATCAAAACAGTGTTTGCTATATTTTACATTTGTAAGACAGAGACAACACATGCGGGTGTAGTGTCCTCTTAAGGGCGTCGGAGCCGGTGCGTTTCTTAGAAAAATACATGTCTGACAGGAAAAACTCTCACGCCCGGTAGAATAGTCGGATTTCGTTAATTTTTTTTTTCAAAGAATAATGCTTCCTCTTAATTGTTAATTGGGAAACCAAAATCTCTTAATGGTGACGTTAATGATGGTCCCGAATTAATGTACACGGTATATAAACTTATTCGGTGGTAAACTCTAACAATTGTATGGTAAGGTATTTCGATTTTAAATTCTGAGTGGAACGATGAATGTATTGATTTTACAATGATGTGTGTTTTTTTAAAATTTTTTTTGTGTCTGTCATCACCTTTTAGCCTTTAGGACAGTAAAAGTGCTTGGATTTTCTTCAACAGTATCTTTTCTGATAGGAAAGTGAATCTAGTTGGTACTTTGTGGGGTCAAAAGTAAAAATAGTATCTTGTATCTTGTTAGTATTTTGTTCAATTGGAAAGTGAATATCGTTGGTGCATTGAGGAGGTCAAAATTTAAAATTCCCAGTAGTTTTCAAAAGCGCAGTGAAAAACAAAAGAAGAATTAAGGAAAAACGGGAATTTTTACACAAAATCGGTTTTCGAAAAAATACATTTTGGTTTTTGGAGCAACTCTTAAACAAATGACCGTAGGTACATGAAATTTTGACTGAATGTTTATATTAGCATTTTCTATACACTATAACATTTTCTAAATATTTTGACTTATTTTGAGCTCTTTAATTACTTTTTCAGTTTCCATTTTTTTTAGTTTTTTTTCTATAAATATCAATAACATTTTATTTGTGGGGACAAAACCTTAAAAATTTAATAGAAGGCTCCCTAATATATTGTTTCAAAGACAGATGAAAAATATTAAAAATCCAGTCGCAATTTTTTTTTATAAACATTTTAAGTTCAAATATTGACAAAATACGTAAAAATAAAGAAAATTTCCAAATTATTTTGAGTTAGAAATTCATTAAAATTTTTCTTTTTAAATCTAAGATTTGAAAATGTAATACAAGATTCCTCATAAATTTGTCTACCTTTACCAAAAAAAAATGTCTACAAGAAAGTCAAATTAAATTTTTATAAGCATTTGAAATTCATATTTTTACAACATTTGATATTCACTAGATTTCTCATGGAACGATTTTCTTATTCTGTAGTAATTAAAAAACGAATTCTGTAGATACTTGAAAATTTCACTGAATGTTTATATTAGCATTTTCTACACACGAAAAAATTTTGAAAATAATTCGACTCTTTTTAAGTTGTTTACGGACACTGTCTGTTTTCAATTTTTTTGTATTATTTTTTCTATAAATATCAATAAAATTTTATTTATTGGGTAAAAAAGAGTGAAAATTTAATGCAAGGCTCCTGATATATTGTAATAATAGCAGTTTAAATATATTAAAAATACATAATCACAATTTTTTTTTTATAAGCATTTAAAGTTCGAATTTCGACAAAATTTATCAAATTTGAAATGTAATAATTATTTTGTAGTTAAAAATTTATAAAATGTTCAACTTTTATAGCTAAGGATTGAAAATTTAAAATAAGGTTCCACGTAAATAGTTTATATATAAATTACTTTATTCAAAATAATGTCATCAAATATACTTTGTAATATCATATTTATTGTATAAAGTACCCTACAGGTGCTCACTGGCCACTGTCCACATAAAAATTCTGCCAAAACACACTTGAGTATCTGCCATGCCCAGGTGGGCAATGTCGACCTCTCTCTTCGGACACGGTGACTGACAGAAGAAAAATGCCGCCCACGGCCGAGTTCGAACCAGCGACGCGACGGTGTGCATCGCAACCAACGCCTTAGTTCGCTCGGCCACTCTCCCCGCCCATTAAACATTTATTAGGCAATTATTTTATTATTTACAGTGGTTATAAATGAAAATATCATTAAACACGAATTATGCATAAATCCAATTTTTGACTTACTCTAACTTGGTCAGTTTTGAAAATAGAAAAAAACTTTTTTTACAATAAATGTTTTTAAAAAAATACTCTACATGAATTTGCAGAAAAACTGGGGTTACTATTTAAAAAAAAGTAAGTCGTATTTCCCCTTTTTCGTGCCAAGTGATCTAATTATTTGAAACTGGTCTGAAAATATGAATTTAAGTGCTCCCAATCACCTCCTGAAAACCCCATTTCAATTCAAAGTCACCCATCTGAGGTATTCTATGGTACCTAATATCGTGATCACACAGTATATTATGTATGTACCACTCATATACATCATAGTATAAACAAATTATAGAAGGAGAGTGAGGTCAGAGCCCCGGATATAATGTGTAATTTTTAGTAGGTCCTGTATAGGAACTTCAAAACAATTCTGGAAGCTATCAAATAAATGATAAAACAAAATATGTACTAAAATAAATGTTCGAAAATTAATTCCGAAAGGTCAGTTAAATACACATGAAATAATGATATTAGAAAAAGCTAAAAAATATAATATTCATTACAAGTTAGGAAAGCTCACTCTGTAAGATTCATGGTTTCTAAGTGAATTTTAATATTATACATCACAAATCACAATTAACTTCAATTCCATAAACAATTTAACAACTTTTATTATCTTTGTAGCTACTTTTTAATATTGTCTATAGTATGAATCTACCTGAATACCTGATATTGCAGCTGCAGGCTATATTAAATAATTATATTTTGATATTTTTAATACTAGCTGCTTTAGCTAGTACGAATTTACTAAAATAGGACCGTTATTGAACCATTTATTTGTTAATCTGTAGTATTAATAAGACTCTATAGTTAAGCGTATTTAGAAGTTAGAACAAATAATACCCCCGTACGTTTTGTCCGTCCGTTATGAACAATAAATTATGAATACGAATATTAAAATGGAAACATAAATATCAATATCATAACTATATGTTCTAGAACCTAATTAACGGACGGACACAACCGTTTAGTTTAGACGGTTTACGGTTAGTGTTTAGAAACCTAAAAAATTTAGTAAAATCATTATAATTTATAGGTAGGGTAAAGGAAGGTATATTCGTGATACATTAACTAGATGAGTAATTACAAAGTAAATTTCAGTAAACAATTGACGTATCACAAGCACCCAACGACTGTTTGTCAATCGACAGTAGTACCCGGGGTACCATTTGACGCAATTTCGATGTTTTTGGCTAATAGGTATGTTCGTTACAAATGCCGAAAGAAATATCACGAAATTACATATATCACGAACATACCTTCCTTTACCTAGTACCTAAAAATCTAAATATTTGGATATTTCACTTATTATACAAATATTATTATAATTTATAAGTAATTACACATAGGTAGCGACGTAGTGTCAGTTTACCTAATGTACCAATTTGATATAGTATACCTATACCTATTATATACACAAGCATACAAGATATATACAAGACAATAGATCTAATCGTTAATCTCGCCATCAATTGTTAGGCCACTACAGATGTAGTAAAATTCAAAGAGTGTACATTTAATGGCTATAATATCATGATAGTTCAAAGATAGGTACTGTCACAGTGCGAACAAAATATGATAGTTACTGTATCATACAAAACGTAGTAAGTAGGTTACCTACCTATACAACGTCGAGTATCAATATGTATTTAAATTTTAAACGAAAAACTACGACCTTACTGCAGCATGAAATATTATTATGAATTGTATAGGATTTTAATATAATGTATTGTGTACTATTTATAAATATATAGCAAATAGATATTAATACATAATACTAAAATACTGTCATACTAAAAAGTGAATAATAAATAATAATATTGGCCAACCCTAAAATATCTTAAGTTTGTCACCATGAAAATTACCAGCTATACACATATTATTTGTCAATATTAGGTAGGCACTTAACAATATTATTTGCCTTGCAATTTCTCATTATTCATGAACATTTGACTTTTCCTTTTTTGATATTTAATAAAACCACTATTATTATGGTCTTAAACAGAGTAGAATGTTAGGTACATATTAAGTTATAATAACATATATAGTCAATATTTCTTATATCCTGAATTATATGGATTTGTAGTTAACATGGCTACAGACTTATAAGTTATAACCATATGATATTACCAAATTTATCTTTGATTAATATGTAAAACGTAAAAAAATTATTAATCTAATAAAAGTAGCATTATTGCGTCAATTATAACTAAAAATAATGAATAAAAATAACAGTATTTCAAAGTTCATAAGTTCTACATATAGGTATTATACTAGTTATATTATCTATGGAAGAACAAAATTATATCAAGAGCATAAGGATACATAAATAGGGACAACACATGACTTATAACATCCATTTTAAACATCCGTGACACGAACGACTTAAAATCATAAAAATTATAGAAATATAACTCCTGCACAATTAACTCCTAATATCATTAATTAATAGCTCAAAAAAAATTCAAATAATAACATTAAAATGTACAAATTATTTTATACAAGTAAAAATAAGATATTTTATATTAGTCCCAATAATGTATTTTTAATTCCGATATAATTCAATGCCTGGTCTTCGGCCTCTTGCCAGTGTTTGAATTCAATAAATAATCAGTGGTGTCGTCTATTCCGGCGGTGATGTTTCTAAGTTCTCCTATATATCGTTTGTCCATGTGCTGCTTAGAACTGTTCATTATATTCTTTACGCAGAAGATAAGTGCAAATACGCATATCAACAGGGCCGAAATACCACCGATGACTTTTTGAGGGCTCAGTAACCGAACAATCGCATAATACTGTCGGTGTCTTCTTTGCACTACGGTCCGTTTGACTTGTTTTCCGACTGTGATAGCGATCTCTAGAATATCAGCAACCGACGAGTCGAAAGGTGATCGGCATTCGATGTAATTCTCGGTTACGTTTATCATGGTGAACCTCTCGTCGTCGTCCGCCTCATCTCCACGGAATGTGACTTCGAGGATGTAGCTGCCGTTAGGTCGGCGACGCTGCAATAGATCCGGAAACATGCCGTCCACACGGACGACGGTGCCGTCGAACACTTCGAAGTCAGTGTAAACCGGGTCGGGGTGGAGTAAGTACGGCGTGTGTTGAGGCAAGTTCACTACTTTACCAGCTAATTCTACACGAAACCCGAGCGAAAGACTCGTCATCTGACCCGGATCGTCGAGCTTCGGAGGCCAACAGTCCATCGTCAAATTGCTGTTGTTACGCACCACACAGATACCGTAGTACCTTGTCCCGTTGTAGTCCACGTACATCTGCTGGTTTTCCGTGCACTCAAAACCACCTCGGACCGTCAACGGGACGTTGCCAGATGCGACGCCCTCGAATACTTGACCATCCAGTACGGTTGGCTCGTTGACGTATGTGAACATTTTTTTTTTGTAGTACTTGCCAACTGCATTGTCAAACACGACTTGCAACGGACCAGACTTTTGTTGGTAAGTGTGAGCGTTGGTCACGCAAACGATGCGGTCGTGCTTGAGTTCTACGATCTCGCACATCACTTTCGTCCTGTTTTTTCTGAAGAACACCTGGACGTCAGCCGTGGTGTTCAGGTACTCTCCGGTCAGTTCTATCCGGGTTCCACCCGTGGCGGGTACGCAGATCGGGCTTAGGTCCGTTAAGCTCGGATCGATGAACCTGAACTTTTGCACTGACTTCAGGCTCAACACACTCGTAATCCCTGCGTACTCAATTACCACCGGACCCTCGCCAACCACCTTTACGTAACCAACAGTGCAATTAACAGTTTGGTCGTCGACTGTGACCGGGTCGTCACAACTCTGCTCGGCCAAGGTCACCTTCGTATTACGGCTTTCGGCCAAAAACCTGTGGTTCTTGACGGTTATGCTCACGACCGTCGACGTATTGCGTTTGTACAGCAAAACGTCTGGTTCGAAAGACTCGATCGCCACGTCAGGACTTCTCACTTCGATCTTGGACAACGGTGCTACGTCCTTCCATTTCTCGTTGTTAATCGCGTTCCGTATGTCGCAACTGTTCGGTTGTTCGGCTGCTATCTTGCAACCATCGTTTTTTAAACACCATTTACAGTAATATTTTCTTGAATCACTTTCCCAAAAACTGATCGTACAATTCTCTTCCGGGCAAGTCCATCCGTGATAACTGATGTAATGGTCTCGTGGATTGTCGAATTGCAATCGTACGTTGTTCACAACGATTGAAAAATAAAAAATATACAAAGGATTAGTTTTAATTCTTATTCTTTGTTCTTTGGTAGGTATAGTTTTTTTGTCTACCCAATTACAAGTTATTACTCCATTAACGTTTGAAGCGTTATAAATTGCATTTTCTATTTCACAACCAATATTTGGCCTTACATTAAAAAAAGTTTTTACACTTTTTGCCTCGATATTCGAAACCTTAACCTGTAATGAATAGTCATCATACGTAACAGTATACGCTGGGCATGATTCTTTTGTATCAATTATGAACTTCCCCGATAAAATTTGATTTGTGTCTAGACAAATTTGTTTTTCGAACAGCCAATTGCAACCAGAGTGTGCATCGGTACATTGTGTGCATGACCTATAAAGCGTGCAGTTGATTTCTTGACTTGATCCACTTTCCGTTATATTTACATTGTCCGCTACAATTTCCACACTTGAGGTCAACTGTAAAAAATTTAATATATACATATATTATATACATATCACATTTTCTATACACAATACAATTTTTAAAATATAGAGACTCATTTCAAGCTATCTATTTACTTATAATAAGACTAACCGACTAACTTTAACCAATCACACCTTTCTATATGGTACGTCAGTCGTCAGTATTTTAACTTAGTTTATACTTAATAACAAATGGACGAAAATGGAAAATGTAAACTCCCCTAAATAAACTTTGTTACCATATTATAGTTTTGTAAATTCCCATAATGTCTCTACTGTATCTCTAACTATTATAGAAATAACTAATAGGTAATAAATATATATATTTATTATATTATATAATAAAATAATCTTCATAAATATAGAGGTTGATACATCCTCTTCAACCAGAATCATGTATCGTAGACTATGCGATAATTTACTTCAAATTTAACACGTCCATCGAAGTGATTACAGTGACGAAGTACACTTAAAATCTACTATAATATTTACAGCACATTACAATACAATTCCCCGTATTTTCATATTTATTTTTTTATTCCATTACAATATATAGATACATTGTGTTTATTGAAATCTATAGTTGTAAATCTCTAAATGCGTATGAGTATACATCTTCGGTTTTAATCATAGTTAACAAAAAAAAAAGTAGGTGGGGTACTTGCGTTGGCACAACTTTGAGAATTTTTTTTTTAAAAAAACATTTAACTTGGTCAAAATAAAAATAAATTATATATTTACAACCATTATCCTTAAGGTTTTTTTCTGAAGGTCAATATTTCCTTTAAGTTATTTGTTGTAAGTTTTGAAAATCGATTTAGCTTAATCTACATAATCAATCAAAAATTGTATAATATATACCTATACCTAATTTAACGCATATAATAGATATAAGATACGTTTTTATAAATGCATTAAGTTCAAAGATCTATAAACAAGTACCAACATAACCAAGCTCAAAACTTATTAAATTATACATAATATAATCTTAGTTAATAATTTAATATTAATACATTTAAAAAAAAAATTGTCATAATATTATTAATTTATATTGTCAAGTTATATCATAAAATTTAAATAAAATATTAATAATATATTATATTTATGTAGAAATAAATGATACACTATAATTAATGTTGGTCAAATGTAACTTACCAGTAAAATTGAGAATACGAGTCCGTTAATATAGGAATGGTTCCAATAATTGTATTCGCATGGAGTCATGATGTAACGTCTGCGAGCAAATATCGTATTGAAATTCTGTGCGTTCTCCTGAAAATAAATAATTATCTTACGATTTTTATATTGGTAAATTATAATCAAACAAAAAATTGAATTACCAAAGTTTTATTTTATTATGTTTCTATATAATATTAATATATTATAATATATTGTTTTATTTCAGTTTAATTTTATGTTGTTTTTGTTATAACTTATAAGTATTAAAGTATAACATTTTTATATTGCAGATTTAAACATTGAAAATTTACTATCCATTTAAAACTATCAAACATATATGACGGGTGATGGGTTAGATTTGTCCAAAGGACTTATTGCATTTATACCATCATACAAAGAAAATTGCAATTTATTATTTTATTTTTAATAGGTATCCTTTATATTACAATATATTGTGTAAGTTAAGGATTAATACACTCATATTTAGGTATATAAAGTAATTTTGTTGAAAGTTGATTAAAACGTAGATATTTAAAATATTGTCAGTATTAAATAATAAGATGAATTATTATAACATTGCAATCGTATAGATACTCCTCATCCTCCGCTACTTATACATTTCTCTTTTCTAAACTAAAGTGATTACTGATTAATAATTGTTATGTTGTATACTTTATGTTTTTACTAACTATAATATATACGTATACCTAATTATTGCTCGTTAGTTTAATTGGGTTCATTACATTTAAGTAATCTCATAAGTCATAAATATAAAATATTAGATAAATTTATAAATTAGTTGTTAATAAAAATGTGTTCTGTAATGTGTTGTGTATTTTTAAATTGAAATCCTGGAATAAAATTTAAAAAAAACCAATTTTATAATTAAAATATGTCTTAAAAATTATGAAAATTATATTGAATTATCACTTTTTTATAATTTAAATAGTCATTAATAGAATTATCTTTAAACTAAACAATTACCTATAAATAAAGATTTAGTATTTGAAATCTAATGCTTTTTTTTTTAAACAAAAAAGGTGGGCAAGTGGGTGTCACTCTACTGTACAATAGGTTACAAGTGGGTCACTGACCACTGTAATGGATGGTGTTAAATTTGAATTCAATAATATTATTGTGAAGTCATTTATAAATTATAAATGTATAACCTATTTACGTGGAACCTTGTTTTAAATTTTAAAACTTAGCTATAAAGGTTGAACATATCATTAATTTTTAACTTCAAAATAATTATTAAATATTAAATTTGATAAATGTTGTCAAAATACTTATAAAAAAATCGTGCATATGTATTTTTAATATTTTTCATCTACTATTGTAACAATATATCAAGAGCCTTGTATTAAATTTTCGCGCTTTTTGGCCCAACAAAAATAAAATTTTATTGAAATTTATAGAAAAAAAAATTAAAAAAATTGGAAACTGAAAATGCCCATAAATAACAGCCTAAAAGGTGACGACAGACTCAAAAAAATAAAATTAAAAAACCGCACATCATTGTAAAATCAATATATTCATCGTTCCACTCAGAATCTAAAAATATAGAGAGATAATTTTTTATCTTCAACAAAAGTAATTAATATAATTTCCATATTATTGAAATCAAATAATATAATTTTGATTTTTTCTCCCATTAGCGTTTTTTTATTTTATTTTTTTCTACATAAATAATTTTTTTGTTCATATTTCGTGGTAAATTATAAATTTGTTACACTAATTTAAATGCATTTAAGGTACCATAATTTGTTTAATGTGGTGGTTCCTTCTAATAGGTACACGGCGCAGATGTCGATAAATTCTAATTTATAAATAACTGGTATTTTATTAAGATTTAAGACCAAAAACGGAATTACACTTATTTACTTAATTTTCTCCATAAGACGTATTGATTAAAAAAATGTTACCAACGCTAGGTTATGAGGGTTAATTCAAAGTTCGTAATGTTGCGATTTGCAGTTCATAACATTTTTTCAACACTAAAAATAGTTTAATAAATAAATAAATAATTACTTTATTTCACTTTTAAAATGCTTTTTATATTTAAATACATTTTTTTATAATTTATATGAATTCTGAACCCTATTTGTAAGTTGTAAGTATTTTCTTGATGACTTATTACTGATACTTTTAACTACCTATTCAACAATAGTTATTGTTTCGATTTCTTGAAAAGGTTTTCTTTACACATTTACAATCTTTGACAAAATATGGCAATATAATCATTTTTATAAAATAAGTTACTTTACATTATTACCATTTGCATAAATTCATAAATATGAGTACCTACTTATCTTACAACCAATAAGGTATTGTATTCATAAAAACTTATACTTTACAGCATAATATTCAAACATCTACTGACCACGGCAAAAGGAGACGGTTATTAAATATGAAAAAGGAACTAACTTTTTTTCAATTCAGTGGAACGAGATAAAGGTAAAAAGTGGTAAACGGTCTATCCAAATTTGAAATTTGAGTACAACTATACGAGTAATAGATTAGTAGATTACTATTTAATAACATACTCAAGTAAATACCCATATGTATTCTGAATACGACGACGATAATGATGATGATGATGGTGGTCCGTCAATGGTGCACGGTGTCGATGGCGACACTCGGATTTTGAAAACGAATGACTTCACTCTACAACCTATATGTCACTGCACCACGTTTCACCTAATCGATAGTAATATCATTATAAATTATTTATTATTGAAGCCAGCTGGAAATCAAACGGTCCCCACTCATTAACCGGGCTGAGGATGAATCATCTAGTACAATAATAATATCCATAATTGAATACATCTTACCATCATGCCATTATTATATTATAAACGAAACGTCTCGTAAATATTATGAATGAATCAATTATAGTAGCACATTTATATTAATTATATTATATGTTATCACACATAAAGATTTGAAACACTTATTAAAAAACGATAACGAAAAATAATAAATTATCAATGAATACGACAAGGACACGGGTTGATAGAAAATATTATCCATATATTATATAGCTATACTTTTAATATGCAAGGTATAACAGAAAGAATTGACGAAAAAAAATGACGCTACTTAAACATATGACAAAAGTTGTTAAAATTATATGATAAGTTAATAATTTTTTGAAATATACCTACTCATGTCAGCAAATTCCCAAAAAAATATTTTGAAAAAAGCTATTACGTTCCAAATTCATTTAATCAAAAAAATACTGATATTTTAAAAAATTCTAAAAAAAAGAAACTACTTGACTTAGATAAATGTTTATACTATAAAAATTGTTAGTGTAATCAGATTCACAAATTGGCTTTTCGAATATATCCAAAAAAAATTTTAATTAAATTTTAAATATTTTATTTTCAATGTTAAAAATATAAAAATAATTTTTGTTTAATATATTATGTGTAGCTCAAGTGACTATAAATTATTATATACAGTGTTTTCACGCTAAGAGGTACCACTGAATATCTCAGATGGGTGACATTGCATTGAAATGTTGTTTTCGGGAGGTGATAATGATCACTTAAATACATATTTTCAGACCAGTTTCAAATTTTTAGCTCACTTGTTAAGCGCATGCGCAATACGACTTACTTTTTTTAAATGACAACCCCAGTTTTTTTCTGCAGATTCGGGTAGAGTATTTTTTTTAAACATTTATTGTATAAAAAGTTTTTTTCTATTTTCAAAACTGACCAAGTTAGAGTAAATCAAAAATTGGATTCATGCATAATATGTGTTTAATGCAATTTTCATTTATAACCACTGGAAATAATAAAATAAGTGCCAAATAAATGTTAAATGGGGGACGTAATGGCTTAGCGGACTAAGTCAGCGGTTGCGACGCGCACCGTCGCCGATTCGAACTTGGTCTACTGGCGGCATTTTTCTTCTGACAGTCACGGTGTGCGGAGAGAGGCCGACATGGCGACAACCAGCATCTGGTCATGGCAGATACCTACGTGTATGTTTGTTTTGGCAGAGTTTTTAAGTGGGCACCCGTAGGTATCTGCCATGCCCAGATGGGGGATGTCACCATGTCAGCCTCTCTCTCCACCAGTAGCGGATCTAGTCACCCAAGGGAGAGGGGGGCGAATTAAAAAAATTAAATTGTCTTTTTGTTTAGCCAAATATTATAAATTATAATAGAAAATAACGTAAAAAAGACAGCCCTAGGAGGGGCCAACGCCCCTTCGCCCCCCCTCGTATCCGCCACTGCTCTCCACACACCGTGACTGCCAGAAGAAAAATGCCGCCCGTAGCAGAGTTCGAACTGGCGACGGTGCGCGTCGCAACCGACGCCTTAGTCCGCTCGGCCACTCCGTTCCCCGTTAAACATTTATTTGACACTTATTTTATTATTTCCAGTGGTTATAAATGAAAATTTCATTAAACACATATTATGCATAAATCCTATTTTTGATTTACTCTAACTTGGTCAGTTTTGAAAATAGAAAAAAACTTTTATAAATAAATGTTTAAAAAAAATACACTACCCGAATCTGCAGAAAATAACTGGGGTTGTCATTTAAAAAAAGTAAGTCGTATTGCGCATGCAAAATATGAATTTAAGTGATCACTATCACCTCCCGAAAACAACATTTCAATACAATGTCACCCATCTGAGATATTCAGCGGTACCTCTTAACGTGAACACACTGCGTATATATAAAAAAAAAATTTTAATATTGATTAGAACTTAGAACAAAAGTTATTCCAAAAGTCAGTTCTATCTGTTACACTCTGTATATACGGAGGTTTTATATTTTATTGTTTGCCATAGCTAATCTTCGAAATTCGAATTAACTGAACAGATTTATATCATTATTATCAACCTAATGTTTAATAATATATTATACTCAATTTCCCCAAGTAATACGTAATCCTTAAATCATTATTTTGTTGAAAATTCGAATCGTAGAAACTAAAAAGTAACGTTGCTTAACCAATTTTTAGCAAATCCGTAAATCTGTTAATATTTTGGTCACTCTTGAAGTCCTGAACAGTTTCATTTT